GTAATTTACTTTCATAAACGCACAATTATTTTTATAATCATGGAACCATAGTACAATCATTTTTTTTAATTTTATTTTTATTACATTATGGTCAAGAATTAGGTTAGGTCTAGACTTTGGAGTGTACCAAGACTAACTAAACCACTATATGATTTTTGTTTTGAGAATTAGTTATTTTAATTTTTTACTTAAAGACGTAAAAAAATAGAGAAAATAATTGACTTTAAAAAAAAAAAAAACACTATTTGAATAACTTGTCCTTAGTAAAAGGTTTTATGAAGAGTGGAAAAAGAAAAATCCCTATCATTTATTTCCTTCAATGCAAGATAATTAGTATCAAATTGTTTAAATAGCAATGTTAGGTACCATGAAAAACTTTTTATGAAAATAATCATGAAAGTTTTGTGACCATTGTATTGCACTTAGAATAAAGTACCACACACTAATCAAGATAATCCAATGATCATAAATTTTTTATGATCATTTTCATGAATATTTTTTTCATGATTCCTAACTTTGGGGCAGTCTAGACTTATTGTTCGACAGTTCATATGATAATTAATGGTGTTTTTCATCAAACACTATTAAAAAAAGTCACTAATTGCTAATTTTCAGAGACAGTTTAAAAATGTTTTCACAAAAAAATCATTAATTACAAATTTTAGCGATAGTTTAAAAAAATCATCAAAAAAAGTATTAATTTTTAACTTTCAACGACAATTTAAAAAATTTGTCATAGAAAAATGTCACTAATTGTAAGTTTTAGTTATAATTTATAAAAACTGTAACAAAAAAAGTCACTAATTGTCAATTTTTAACAACATATGCAAAAAATATCACAAAAAATTATTTTCAATTACGATTTTATTAAGATTTACTTTCAATAAGACTCAATAGAAATTAATTCAAACTATTAAGACCTATTGATAATTTACTATTAAAATAATATAAGAAATAAATAAGATTGAAGCGCCCCCAAACCCCGATCACATAGGTGGTGTTTGGCAAGTTAATTTGTGGCTAAAATAATTACAAAAGACAAAATAAGTTATTTTAGTCACAATAAACAAAATATCACATCTAACCAATAATCATTACACTATTCTTTCACAAAAAAAGTCAAAAAAATAAAAAAACCTTTCTTAAACCAAACTTTTTAACCGAAATTAAAATAACTAAAAAAATCAAAAAATTAAAAAATCAACTCACTTCTCAAACGGAGGCTATGCCTTCCCCAACTGATTAGACAAGAAAGGGATTAGTTTTTTTTGGGAATAAAGAGTAGCGTAAATTTCAGATAAGTATAATCATCTGTAAATCAAGCGTATCAGTTAAGGGAGGGGAAACAATTCTTGAGCCCCAAATCTTGACTTATTTCACCATAGAAGTGTATATTTTTTTTATTAGCAAAAACTTAATATTTTATTAAAAAATAAAACATTACAAGTTGACTTAAGCATTTAAAACATTGTTGATTCCACACCGCTTGTTTTCACTTTTTAAAAAATATTTTTCAAAAAATTCTATTTTCTTATTTTTCGTATTTTTTTTTATTTTTACTGAATTTTTTTAATATTTTAAGTAATTTTTTTACTTTTTAGATACATCTAACATAAATACTTCTAAAAAATAAAAAAAATTGTAAAAAAAATCTTTTAAAAATTCACTAAGTACCAAAAATACAAAAATTCAATATATTTTTTGTATTTATTAAATTTTTTAAATATTTTTTCACAAATTTTTTATTTTTTAGATACATCTAAGTAAGGTGTATCTAAAAAAGTAAAAAAAAATGTTTAAAATTTAAAAAATATTCACTAAAAACAAAAAAACACGAAAATCAAAAAAATCAATTTTCAAAAAACTTAATTCAGAAAACTCAAACCAAACACACCTACATGAAATCATCCCAAATGAAAAAAAAAAAGATTAAAAAAACTTGATCCAAATTTGACGTGATTTACTTTTTTTTTTTTTTTTTTTGAAAATAGTGGTGGTGGAGGTATGGGGTGGAGGATGAGTCACTGTGGAAGAGGGTTATTATCAGCAAGTACGGGGCTGATGGAGGCAGGTGGCTCCCAATACAGAATGGGGAAGGTAAGGAATCTGTTGTGTGGAGTGATATCCTGAGTGTGGCTGCATTAAATCCTGAGTTGTACCAATTTTTTGTTTCAAAACTACAGATTGTGGTAGGGAATGGGAGTAGGATTCTGTTTTGGCATGATAGGTGGTGCATGAATTTGAAGTTGAAAGAGGAATTTCCCAGGTTATTTAGGCTTTCTATGGAGAAAGAAGAAAAGCTCAGTTACTTTATGCAGAGGAGGGATAGTGATGGTCCTTGGAGTCTATAGTTTAGAAGACCTCTATTTTCTTGGGAGGTAGAGGAGGTAGGAAAGCTACAAGAGTTAACTAAGGATGTCCCCAGGTTGAATGACAATCTGTGTGATGGTGTAAAGTGGATAGCATCCTCGTCTGGTGTGTTCACAGTGGCATCTGTGAGATCTTGGCTTCAGAAAAATTCTGGAACTAGCTTACAGGTTCCTAGGATGCTATGGAATAATCTGGCACCATCTAAAGCCCAATTCTTGTGTTGGTTGGCTTGGAGAGGAAGGGTCAAGTCTGCAGTTGTTCTGCAAAGACTAGGGGTGTTAGGGGGTAATGCGAATGTTGCCTGCCCTTTCTGTCTTGCTGTAGAAGAATCAGTAGATCATCTGTTTGTGCAGTGTCCTGAAATATGGAAGGTTTGGGGAAGGTTGCTGTAGTGGTGGAATTTATATTGGGTCGCTCCTGCTACAGTGGATGGAGTTCTTTCTTGGTGGTTGGGAACTAAGCATAGGAAACTAGTAAAGAAAATCTGGGTGATGGTCCCAGTGGCAATGCTGTGGTCAACATGGAGGCTTAGGAATGAGATTGTGTTCAAGGGTCATCTACCAGATATGTTGGAGCTTGGTGAGTTAGTAAAAGTGAGGGTGGGGTTGTGGGTTCGAGCTTCATTGCCTTCTGTCCATTACTCAGTGCATCACATAGTGGAGAACCTGAGTCAGGTGCTGTTATGCATCTGAGATATGTGGAGAACCTGCGGATCATGTATGCTGTGTTTGTGGTGTCTATGGGGAGTTACTGCTGCTACTGTATTGCAGTTCATGTATGCAGAGTTGTCTGCTCTTGAGGTGCATTATGCTTCACTGTTGTTTTGCTAATGAAATCTCCTTCAGCAGAGGTTTCTTTGGTGATCAATTTGAGGCTTCTTTTGTAGCTGTCCTGTCTTGTTCTGTGTGTTCTTTGCTTTGGATTAGTCTCTCACCAATGCCCTTGCATTGCCCTGCCTTGTTGATGTTTTTGCATGTTTTATGCTTTTTCTCATGGTGGAAGGGGTGAGGGCAGTGTGTGGAAGCCAGCAGCAGGTGTTCGGACGTATGCAGAGGTCATTAAGAATAGTCATGGTATGGGAAGTGGAATTGTGTCTGTCCAGGCAGAGGAAGTCGGAAACGGGTGGCTATATGAAAGTGTAGTGGTTCGTCTTAAAGTTGAATACGCCAATGTTAAGATTAAATATGAATTACAGCAAAGGGGCATGGAGAATGTGGTAGTGAGGGATGGAGGAGGTAGAGATGTGTTGTTAACATTCAACTCTAAGGAGTGTATGAAGGATAGTTTGGGGACTGTGAAGGAATGGATAGGGGATTGGTGCAATGAAATTGTGAGGTGGAATCCTGATGTTCATAGTGGAGGTGAACGTAAGGTGTGGGTCTGCTGTTTTGGGATCCCATGGAGTTTATGGAATAGAACAACTTTAAATAGAATTGGGAAGGTATGGGGGGAGGTTATTTGTATTGAAGGCGATATATGCAATCCAGAATCGTTTGAATATGCAAGGATTCAAATTTTAACAAAGTGTATGGAGCCTATTAATACAATAATCAATCTGGAGTGTAAAGGGTACTCCCAAACAGTAAGAGTGTGGGAACATTTATCTGGGGCACCACAGATATTGGCTGGGAGGAGTGAGAGCTCTATGGTACAGGGAGGGGTAGGAGCCTGCAGTTCAAATAAGGATAAGAAGGTGGGTGTAGCAGTTATGGCGACTGGTGTAGCTGTAGAAGATGACGATTGGGTTGGTGAGTCAGCTAGGGAGCTGGACCAATTGAAGGAGGTGTGTATTGGGGTTGGGCCAGAAAGAGTGAGATGTAGCGATGAGGTGCAGATGGGATCACCAAGGCAGTCTGAAACTGTGGTACCAGAGTCTACTGGCAGTGAGCTCGAGGGTATAACAGATAGCATTATGGAAGTAGCTGGGAGCATAGGCAATGGCTGTGAGTTGGAAGGTCAGAAAAGTAAGGAGTAGGTTAGCATGCAAGGGGCTGTTAAAAGCTTGAGTGGATCTAGTTTGCTCAAACCGGGGGTCCATCTAGAGGTGGTGCTGGGTCGGAATAATGGAATGGGCCTATGTAATGGGCCTGTGGTTATGAGGGTAGGAGGGGAGACGCAAACCCAAGGCTCCAAGGCTGGTTTTCAAAGAGGGCTACAGGTTGAAAAGAGCCCTTTAATAATATGTTCTGACTTATCTGAATCACAGTGCAACGAATTGAGCTCAAGGAAAAAACTACAGAAGAATAGAGGGATGAAGAGAGTAGTTACGAAATCTAGTGGGAAGAAAATCAGAGAGATGAAGCAGGGATATCTTAAGCGTCGAAAAAGCTATAATCATAGAGGAGCCTCTTCTAGTAAATTGGGACCGAGAGGTGCTATATGGAGAGCAGCAGCTGCGGTAGCATCAGGTGTAGATTCAACAGCTAGTGGAGTAGCTAGAAGCAAATCGTTGCTTAAAGAGGCTCAGGGAACTATTCAGATGGGAAAGTTGTTGGGTATAAACTATAAAGGTAAAGAAGAGGAAGTGCTAACCAAAATCTTGGACCTTGAGGCAAATGATAGAGCAAGGAGGGGAGGGAATGTAGTTCCTGTGGATTGATAAGATCTTGGGGGGTCAGAGTTCAGTGTAAATGGTTATGATGAAGCTACTAACATGGAATGTCAGAGGTTTGGGGAGAAAGGAAAAAAGAAGTAAAGTTAAGAGGTTGTTGAAGGATAGAGGTATTGATATAGCTCTTTTTCAAGAGACAAAGAAGGCCTCCATGTCTGAAAAGGAGATCAAAGAGATTTGGGCTAGGGATAGTATGGAATATATGACTGTGGATGTTGAGGGCTCTGCTGGTGGCCTATTATGTATTTGGGATCCAGCTGTTTTTCAAATGTCAAGTTGCTGCTGTAATAAAAGGTTTGTTCTTCTCTCTGGGTCTCTATTCTTTTCTTTTGATTGTGTTTTGATCAATGTGTATGCACCAAATGAAGTGGGCCAAAGAGGTAAATTGTGGGAGTGTCTTCTAAAGTTAAAGGAGGAGTATTCTAAGCCCTGGTATATAGGGGGGGACTTTAATGAAATTAGAAAGATTGGTGAGAGGAAAGGCTGCTCTACGAGGGACAAGGGGATGAAGGAGTTGAATGATTTTGTTGATAGTAGTGAGTTGAATGATTTGCCTTTATTAGGCCGAAGGTTTACATGGTGTAATGCTAGGGAAGGGGAGAAATGGAGCAGAATTGATAGGGTTTTGGTGGACCCAAAATGGGTGGAATCATTTAATTTGAAGTTGTGGGGACTTCCTAGAGTCATGTCTGATCATAGTCCCTTACTGCTAATGGAAGATGAGAGAGAGAGCTTGAAGAGGCAGAAAAATGTTATTACATGTAGAGTTAAGCTTCATATGCAGTACAAAGTTGAAGAAGGTAGAGGATGAGCTTCATATGCTTGATTTGTTAGCAGAGGAAAGAGAGCTTGAAGAGGCAGAAAAATGTAGAAGAAGAGAGGCTAGAGTTGAGGCTGGATATTTAACAAGAATGGTGGAAAGGTTGTGGTTCCAAAAATCGAGGCTTTACAGGAATTTTTATGGTGATAAAAACACAAGATATTTTCATGTGTTAGTGAAATATAGGCAGGGAAGAAATGAAATAAATACTTTAACTGTTGGTGATGTGGTGGTTGATGATCCATGTAGAGTTAAGCTTGAGGCCCTAGCTTATTTTCGGAAGCAGTACTCTGAGGATTGGCAGCATAGGCCTGTATTGGAAGGTCCATTTAAGTCAGTGAGGGATAGCCCTTGTTTTGATATGTTGGAGGCAGAGTTTACTGAGGCAGAGGTATGGGCTGCTGTCAAGGGTTGTGATGGGAATAGGGCTCCTGGTCCAGATGGGTTTAACTTGGCTTGTATCCAGAAACTGTGGAAGGTATTGAAGGCTGATGTTCTGAATTTTGTGTTCGATTTCCATAAGAATTGTAAGTTGGTCAAAGGAATCAATAGCTCTTTCATCACTTTGGTACCTAAAAAGGAGAATCCAGTGGGGTTGGCGGATTATAGACCTATCAGTTTGGTTGGGTCAATGTATAAAATTCTGTCTAAGGTTCTTTCCTCAAGGCTGAAGGCAGTGATTCCTCAGATCATAAGTGAAAACCAATCGGCTTTTATTGGAGGGAGGAATATTCTGGATGGTGTTTTGGTGGCCAATGAGGTTGTCGATAGTTGGAAGAAATCTAGAAAGAAAGGAGTGATTATTATGTTAGATTTTCAGTAAGCTTACAACTCATTGAATTGGGATTTCTTACTCTCCATGTTGGCTAATTTTGGGTTTGGGGGAAAATGGTGGAGTGGATTAAGGTATGTATTACCTCAGCTAGGCTATCGGTGCTTGTTAATGGATCTCCCACTGAGGAGTTCAGTCCACAGAGAGGACTGAGGCAAGGGGACTCCTTGTCCCCATTTTTGTTTATCATAGCTACAGAGTGCTTAAGCATTTTGTTCAATAGAGCTTTGGATTTGGGGCTAATAAAGGGGGTTAAGATTGGCTCTGATGGGTTAGTCCTTACTCATCTCCAGTTTGCAGATGATTCTTTGTTATTGTGTGAAGCTGATGTAATGGAGATAAAGAATGTAAAGAAGATTCTGAGGTGCTTTGAGTTGATATCAGGGTTGAAAATAAATTACCATAAAAGTGTAATTAGTGGAGTGGGTATTCTCGAAGAGGAAATGTCTGAGTATGCATCTGTGCTGAACTGTGAAGTTAAATGTTTGCCGTTTAAATACCTCGGTCTACCGCTGGGGGCTAACCCAAGTAGGAAAGCAACTTGGCGGCCTATTCTAGACAAATTTAGAAGCAAACTGGCTGGTTGGAAAAGGAAACTGCTGTCATTTGCTGGGAGACTTGTTTTAATCAAATCTGTCCTTTCCTCGCTGTCTATATATTACATGTCATTGTTTAAGTTGCCTCGGGGGATTGCTAGAGAATTGGACAAGCTTCAAGCTTGCTTTCTGTGGGGGGGGGGTTCTGAATTGAAGATGAGTCATCTAGTAAAATGAAAGGAAGTGGCGAAGCCTGTAGACCAAGAGGGCTTGGGGGTTAGAAGAGTGAAGGAAGTGAATAGTTGCCTTATGTTGAAATGGTGGTTGAGGTTTGGCGTGGAAAATAAAGCTTTGTGGAGGAGAGTTTTGAGCAGTAAATATAGGATTGAGGAGGGGAGTTGGAGCCCTCAAGTAATCTCTAATGTGAGATGTTCTAAAATGTGGAAGGATATATTATTACAATCTGAACAGAGTAGCAGTCTAGTGGTTATTTTTCTGGACAATTGTAAGGTGAAAGTGGGTAATGGTCATAGAATCAAGTTTTGCAAGGATAAGTGGTGTGAAAACTTGAGCATAAAGATGCATTTCCACTGTTGTATAGGGTGGTAGTTGATAAGAGAGTGACTTTATCTGATATGATGATCAGGAAGGAGGAAGTCGGTGAATGGTCATTTCTGTTTAGAAGGGCACTGTTTGACTGGGAAAGAGTGGAATTAATCAGATTGGTGAGTCAGATTGAGGCAGGTCCTCATCTTAGGTGTTACTCAGAAGATACTCTTGTCTGGAAAGCCTTGGAATCTGGAACATATTCAGCTCAATCTATGTATACGCTATTGGTTGATGGATCCAGCAATAGAAGCACAGTTAGCAAAAGGATTTGGGTTAAACATGTCCCTCCTAGAGTTCAATTTTTTGGATGGCTTGCTTGGAAAGGAAAACTAAAGACGGCTGAGTTTTTGCACAGAATTAGTGTTCTGCTTGCTGGTGCATCTGTAGAATGTTGTCTATGTAAATCTGGAGCTGAGTCTCTCATACATGTGCTTCTATTATGTCCAGTGGCTTGCAAAGTGTGGTATGAAATGATTAGATGGTGGAAGATTCAAGGAGCACTGCCAGCCTCAGTGGAGGACATGCTTGAATGGTGGGCAGGGGTGGGTCTTAAAAAAAAGGAAAGGATGATATGTAATGCCCTTCCTCTTGTAGTGATGTGGTCTCTATGGAAACATCGGAATGAATGTATATTTCAGGAGGTTGTCCCTAATGTGGATGGAATTACAGATCAGATTAAGTTAAAATTGGTTGTGTGGTTTAAGGAAGTATTTAAGGAACACTTGTTCTCAGTTCATGATTTCATGTTTAATCTACAGTGTATCAGATTCAGTTTCGGAGGTGTTTTCAGAGGGTGAACTATTTGAGGAGACCTATTTTTTCCTACCAGTCCTTCTGTAGAATGCTCTCGGTTGGCATGCTAGGCTGCAGAGTGTTGTCTCAATCTGTGCAGAATAGTCTCTGCTGTGTGACGAGTTTTTGCCTCTGGTTTTATGCAGTTAGAATGTGCTGGTCTTTAGTTATGCAAAAATTCCTCTGCTGTTTTAAGTTTTTGTGGTGCTAAGGTTTGGAGTTGTAGGTTTGTTTGTTGCTCAGCTTCCTGGATTAGTTTGGTTTTGCTTCAGATTTAGGTGCTAAATGCTGGGTAACCTGCTGCGGAGTGAAATCTGCCTTTTTTGTGTACTCTCATGCTGGGGTGTGTATGCTGCTAGTGTACTCTCTTGCTGTGTATTTCTGTTTGTGTTTTCTTTGGTTTACCTCTGTGTTGGATTCTCTCCAACTGGAGCTCCGAGCTTAATGTAGCTCCGAGCTTCTCTTTATTGATGTACTCTTCTTTTATGATTTTATCAATAAAGATTTCTTCTTGCTGATCAAAAAAAAAACCACACAGCAGCCACCCCAAATCCAGTTGTGTGGTGTGTGTATACAATAATTATGAGTGAATGGTATAATTATAACTTTTAGTTTGTGGATTGAGAAAATTAATTAATAATCAAATTAATAAGTGTGTGTATTGAGAGAAGATGTGTACTGAGATAATTAAGGCCTCGTTTGGGAACATACTTTTTTAGTAATTTTTTGGCTTTTTGGTTAAAATGTGATGTAAAAAAAACTAGTATGTTAGAATGATTTTTTGACTTTTTACGAAAAGATGTGCAAAAAATAGAGAAAAAATGAAATCTTTGACTTTTTGGTATGAGTTGTTGACTTTTTGATTTTTTTAATAACTTTTTGATTTTTTGACTAAACCGATCACTTTCCAAACGAGGCCTAAGTGTAGAAATAGAATTTTTCCAAGAAGAAGTTTGTCAAATGGCATTCTAAACTCCGGATAAATATAATCATTCATAAATCACGCGTATTGGTTTACGTTTTGTGAGAGTTGAACGAGGGACTTCCTATGCGATTTAAGTTTTGTGAGAGTTGAACGATGGACTTCCTATGCGATTTAAGATTTGGATAGATTCCAAAATTAGGTTTTTATTTATTAGGCGAATTATCTTAACAGTCCATATAGTTTGAGATTTGTGTTATTTTAGTACTTAACTTTTTAATTGTGACACATTTGACTCTAAATTTTAAATCATGTTTCAAATAAGGACAATTAAAAATACCATTACTTAATTTCAAGAGCAAAATCATCAATTTGATAAAATATACACTAATTTGACAAAATAAATGTCAAATTTTTTTTTTAATTTTTAAAAATTATTTCTACCTACCAAAAATAAAATTATGTAAAACTGATAAATCTTTTACACATTTATTTATTTATTTTACAAAATTAATTTTTATTATGTGTTTGGATGATGATCATGTGATTGATGATTGTTAGAATTTTAATGAATAATTGATATATTTAATATATAAAATGTTTTTAGTTATGGATTTTTTTGGTTTAATAATAATGTCAAAATTGTCGCTATATTTGAATTTTAGAAAAATAGAAACTAATTCAATGAAAATAAAAACAATCACCCATTACATGATCATTATCCAAACACATAATAAAAATTAATTTGGTAAAATAAATAAATATCTAAAAGATTTATCAATTTTACATAATTTTATCTTTAGTGGGTAGAAATAATTTTTAAAAATTTAAAAATATTTTTTTGACATTATTTTTGTCAAATTAGTTTATATTTTATTAAATTGACAATTTTGTCCTTGAAATTAAGCAATGATATCTTTAATGTCTTTATTTGGACCAAGATTCAAAATTCAGAGTTAAATGTGTCACAATTGAAAAGTTAAAAACTAAAATAAAACAAGTTCCAAATTATAGAGCCTGTTAGTGTAATTCGCCATATTTATTTGTTGTGCTAAAACAAATCCACATATATATATACACACTGCATTTCATAGAAAATTGGAAGGAAGTTTTGTAACGGTTTGACCGCAGCGCTTAGCTGGAATGGAACCAACTGTTATTGGTGTACAACATTGAATCCTTCTTTTGAAAATTAAAATTTGAAAATTTCAACTTGTAGAAAATGAATTAACAAGGAAAGTGTGTAGAAAATGGAACCAACTGTTATTGGTGTACAACACTGCATTTCATCTTGTACCTG